GTTGACCGAGAGTTGACCAGAGGGTTGACCAAGGAGGTTGACCAGCGTTGACCGGGCCGTTGACCAAGCCGCCGTTGACCAAGACTTGACCAAGCTGGAGTTGGTGAGATCTCGCCAAGCCTTCAGCCTTCTCCCTACCCCGTGGATGTACACTCACCCATTGGTACTTGCTGAGGTCAAGAGTCTGTCTGTCTCTCCTTTTTGCATTGAGTCTCTTCTGTCCTAAGTGATAGAATCTGTGGATGAAGGATAGGGGCTTGCTGCCAAACCCACACGAGCTTAGTAGGACTCCTACTCTGAGACTTGAGGACCTGGGCATGAGCGGCGAGCGCTCGTTAAACAACTCGTCTAGCCCAATGACCGGTACTGACCGGCAGGTTTTTCAATATCAGTTTAGTGGGTTTGAACTCTGAGCTGTGGGCTGAAACGAAGGCCGTCGTTAAGTATTGAGGCCTGGTTGAGCCACTCCCCTACCGGACCTAGTAAGGCTGATGATCTGTGTCTGACGACTCGACTRTCCCGAGGGATACGAACCCCTCCAAGGACCGGTACAGACCGRCGGGCTGCTCGGTGTGGCACAGTAGGCTGGACGGGCTGAGTTGTGGGCTGAAATCGCCAGAGGAACCAAGCTGAGCACGTCGTCCTGTCTGCGACGTTAAAGAATTCTTGCGAAGTTGGGGGATCTTCTAAAATACCTCCTGATCAGCTTTTGGTTCTGTAGTAACAACCTTAGAGTAGTCTTGGGTTAGTTGCCTGTGGTCCTTAGGGAGTCAGTCAGTAGGTCAGTGTGTCCGGGTAGGTCTACGTGGTGAGGAGTGGGACCCCCGTCGTGCACCAACACCACGATGGATGACTATCCGATGTATGGGGTACTTGTTGGGTTCTCCCTCTGGGGGACCCTCTGGCGTCTCCTCTTTCCTCTGGGCTTTTGGCCCACTTTCACGTGTAGAGTAGGGCCCACTCGCGGTGGGACGTCCACCACCCCCTACACGAAGGAGGAGGAGGAGAAGATGGCCGCCCTTCTACAGGAGAAGAAGGAGAAGGAGGCCAAGAAGAGGGCCTTGAAGGAGGAGCAGGCGGCCAAACTTAAGAAGATGGAAGAAGAAATGGCCAGAGAGAAAGAGAGGTTGAAAAAGGAAGAAGAAGAGAAGCTGAAGGAGGTGGATGAAGAAGAGGAAGGACCGCCACTGCAAAGGAGTAGTGGGCAGCCCAGTAGTAATACCGGTGGAAACCTGGAGAAGAGGATCTCTGAATGGGTTGCCAACCTGACTGTGGGAGAAGAGGAAGAGGTTAGTATGTACATCCCGCAGGATCAGCAAGAAGCCGCCATGAAGGCTTGGGAGGYRRAGAAAGACCCTCTGAAACGTCAAGCGTTGGAAGACGAGAAGAAGATGGAATGGAAATTAGCGGTGATGAGGGAGAAGAAGAGGGGAATTGACAAGGCAGCGGAGGCGGCAGAGGCCTTAGAAGAGGTGAAGAACATAGAGACGCAATTAGCCGCCCAGCCCGATCTCCCGAATCAGATGCGAGTCATAGCGCGGAGCGTCGCATGCYTGGMACGGGTTCAGGCAGACCAATATGACTTTAGCAGAAGTCAGGACATAGCTGTGCGCTCGATACGATTGGGCTTTCAAGACTTTGCTCGTGAGTTGGTAGGCGYCGTTGGAGTCRAGGTGGGTCACCGCCTCGACAAGACTGAGCGGTTCTGCGCCGGCGCCATTGAAGGCGTCAAGGCGGCAGCTCCCAAGGAGGAGGAAGCACGTCCTCCTCGCCGGGAGCCTGTCAAAGTCAAGTTCCCCGATTCCTACAGCGGGAGGAGGGAAGAAAACTTTGATAATTGGGAGG